TTGTGTGTATTAAAAAAAAATCATTCCAGAGACGTCTTCTGTTTGCGATTTATGCCGCAATGAATATTATTACAAAAACGAGAGCTCATCCAATTCGAGTAAGATTCTGATATCAGCGATACTACTGAGATTCAGAGAAGCGGCTTTTCGGTTTTGAGCTGTGTTGAGACCTCGATGATCTTTGATCATGATCTTCGGAAGTTCTAGGGAGATCTCTATTATAGGTTGTTGTGCAGAATTTTCTGGAATGTTCTTTGTGACTGCATACAGATTGGGTTGCGTCGTTTAGTGTTCTTTATTCTAGAATATTCGTTGCGCTCTACTCCCTATATAAATATCTCTGCTTTTGTTGGTTTGTGGTTCGTTGGCTAATATTGTGTTGTGGATAAACCAACTTATCCTTCTGTGTCACTTCAACTACCCTGTATTCGTCGTCGTCAACTCAACTCTCGGACCCAACAAGCTGCATATCTATAATTAATACCGATCGCTTAAATGAATATGGGGCTCATACTTCAAGTATCACAGTAGACCATGACGTACAATGAGTATGACATGAAAAAGAAGACCGAATTTTCTGGCAAATCACAGTTCCTTTAAACCATTCGGAGATAATTTCAACAACTGCATGTAATCTTGACTTCTGCTTCAGCCTACATGCAAATAATTGCTGATTTCACGGCCTCTGTGAAATATGCAAGACAGTGTATTAATATTAGACTTAAGTCAGAAACAAATGTTGTATGCTGCGTATCAATCTTCAAGAACCTGTACAGGACATCTGATGGCAGGCAATACTTTCATAAGTATTATAAAACATGCAGCCGTCAATGAAACATTGTAACAAAACTATAGGATGGAATGGATCATAGGTTTAGAGTCTGAAGAAATTGAAAACAAAGCAGTATACAAGATAAAATCCCTCACAATTTCGCTAATCGTAGCGGTGAGAAAACGTGACTCAGATCCCGAACGTTTTTTCACGAATAAGTGAACTACAAAAAATTTCACTGCAGAAACTAGAAATAAATGAAGAAGCTGAAAATCGTGGTAAAAAATAATAAAAAAAAAAAGACCAACGATGCAGCACAGTATCCTTGCGCAACAGAAAGACCAGCAATCACACGTCGAGCAAATTCAGGCGACATTTTTGCAAGCAATCGAGTTATGATATTCGCTCCCATACTGAAGCCAATGCAAAAGAAGCGCGTTGACGGGTATAAATCGGCTAAACGAGTCAGCATTGATTCCATTTCTTCCGTGCCACCTACGAATGCTACATAGAATTATTTTTCGCGCTTTTTCCACAAAGATTTTCAGTTTTCTCCATACTTCCGGTTCACGTACTTATATTAAAAATCAAGACCGTCTTGTGTAAGGATCTCATGTTAGTGAAGCGACCTGGTGATGCTATTCCATTTCCATCCTTCTTTCAGCCCTGCCATTATGGGATGATATCTGCAGATATCCACTTTTGCCTTCTCCAGGCTCTACTTTTTTCCTTCTAAATAGTCCCTGCTTCCCACCAACGGCTATCCGTTGGTGGGAAGCACGGACGATTAATTGGTTTTCAAAGGAAATCGGTTTAAATCGATTTTCCTTCAAATTCTTTTAATCCGTCTCCCTTCCGCCCCACCTTTGATGCGTTTGGACTTAAAAAGATCATTTGGACTTAAAAGACATTTAATGCCCTTTAA